AGATTGCTCTGTCAGGTTATCAGTAAGTTCTTGTGGAAGTTGTCTCACATCTACCTGAGGAGATGTGTCTGTTAAATATTTTGTAAATCACTTCACTGTTAATAATATTTAAAAATGAAAGGGACTCTGAGAAATATTATCATTAATCCATTTTCTTTTCCTCATGTGTATAAAATTATGTTTATTTCTGAATTCCAACAAGGGCATGGAAGGTGCTTTCTTCCTGCCTAGTTACTATCATATCTCTTAGACAATAGATTTAGCTCTGTATCCACTTCACACTTGATGAAATGCTTCACAACCTAGTGAATTCTCCAACAGAAATGGTTATGCAGGTCCAACTAGGAGCAGTGAATACTATACAGAAAATCATCCTTTTTTTTTTAACAGAAGCTCAACTTAAAAACTGAGTTCTAAACATATTCAATCCTCTTCACAGATCCATAAATTCCTGTCTCCTAAAAAATGAGACCCAAAACAACCTGACCTTTACCTCCCTCCCTCTCTTCAACTCCTTCAACCCTCTCCCCTCCTCATCCCATTCTCACTGTACAAAAATCTACTTGTTTAATTGGGAATTTGAACAACTTTGTTGAAAATGGGAATTCAGTGACAAATTAATAAATCAGGGATCTGCAATTATCTTTGCACTAGAATAGTTCCTATCTGTTAGATGATAGCATTTGAAACTTGAAATGAAAAGTATTAGCAAGTTATCTGTGAAGATAGGCAATAAATTCCAGAGACAACAGAAAAATTAAATCAACATGGGTTTTGCTGCAATGCAATGCATTTGTCCCAAATTATGTTAATGACAGTAGATCCTTTAATAGTGTTGGAAGGAGATGAGAATAAAAAAATTGAGCAAGTTGTTTTCAGAATTAAGTCAAATTTAGCTTTATAAAATCAAATTACCAATTAGAAATGTATAAAATGCTAGTGAAAGAAGTCAATTAAAAACAATATCATCTACATTTCACTTCAGCTGGGAAACTTGGAATGGATTGTCAAAGTAACCCACTGAATTTAAACTAGATATGAGCATTTCCATTTTTCTGTTAAATCATGGTCTTAAAAAGTATGGCAACATAAAGACTGGAGTGTACTCCTGGTGTTAGATTATGGGCATAGCTTGCACAAGTCCATTGATTCTATCCTCAACACCAAAAGCAGATATTGTTTCAGCAACATTATTCCTACATTTTAATCATCAATATCATCATATCTCAACTAAAAATCTATGACTTATCCTCTTGAAACTTCATTCCTATGTAAATAAACAATGCCTAGGAAAGACATAATGTCTTTACTCAAAATAAAGCATCTATA